ATCCGAATCTTTTTGATTCTCGGAGTGGAGATCTCACTCTTAGTTTCACCTTTCAGGATTCTTGAAGTAGAGATCCCACTTTGAGTTTTCTTTTGTAACTAGAGATAGAATATAAAATTCTTCCTTTTCAACTTTGAGAGATAGAATATAATATCCTTCATCTCCCATATCGGGTTCATCTTTGTCCCAAGAGAAGACATTACTTTTTCAACTCCTAAAATCCATACTTCACACGCACGGGGAATTTTATCCCGAATCCTGAGCAGGGATAAGTCAGCGCCTAACACGCGTTACCGGTTTAGTCTTTTACCGACTGAAAAAGACATCAGAATACTAGTCTGGGGTATTTTATCCTAAAGCCTAAGTAGGGATGAGTCAGCGCTTAACCCGCGTTGCTGGGTGGTTCATTCCGTAAAAATGTCCGAGTCTACGTATTCAGTATCGTAGCAACAAAAATTCATGTATTTTATGCGTGGGGAATTTTATCCCGAATCCTGAGCAGGGATAAGTCAATGCCTAACACGCGTTACCGGTTAGTTCTTAACCGTAAAAAAAACAAAAGCTCACATATTCAACATTGTGGCAGGTTGTTATTCATAACACCAAAATCCGTGCTTCACACGCACGGGGAATTTTATCCTGAATTCTGAGTAGGGATAAATCAATGCCTAACACGCGTTGCCGGTTAGTTCTTAACCGTAAAAAGAACAAAAGCCCATTTATTCGACATTGTGACAGGTTGTTATTAATAACACAATAATCCGTGTCTTACACACGTGGGGAATTTTATCCCGAATCCTAAGTAGGGATAAGTCAACGCCTAATACATGTTGCCGGTTTAGTCTTTCACCGATTGAAGAAGACACCAGAATTCAAGTCTGGGGACTTTTATCTCGAATCCTAAGTAGGGATGAGTCAGCGCCTAATACGCGTTATCGGGTGCCGTTTTCCCATAAAAAATGATGAAGTCTATGTATTCAAAGCCATAGCACCAAGTCTAAGTGAGTTAATTCTCTTAGCACAACGTCACATGCGGAACGGACTTAAACAATCTGCATGCTAGCCCGACTCAAACGGTAGTCAGTAAAGGCTCATCAAACCCGTTGATGGCTGAGAATTTGCCAAAAGTTCTATAAATGAGAGTCATTGACGCACCAATTCCGTTTATTGGTCTTGTGATTTCAGCATCCAACAACATCAGGATAAGATTCATATATACAGATGAATCAGTTTTAACAAGTTGGTCCTGCAGCCCCAGCATTTAGGACCGTCACGCTCTAACACCTTAAGAGCTTAAACTGTGTAGACTACAACAAAGGTCAATGCCGTACAACGCGTTACAGTAAAGATCGATGTTGGTCAACACATCAGTAATCTCGCCAAAAATAAGGCAAATGATGATTTCAGGGAGTTCAATCGTATTCAGATATGAATTTCTGACAAAGATGATCAGTTCAAAGTCAACTCAATGACACGAGCTAAATTCAGAAACTTACACACCAACTTCAATTCAAGATTTCGACAACGGTCAGACGATAAATGCAGCGCCGGAGAACCTCATCTATTCGACAAAACACTAAATAGACTAAAGGCTAAAGAAGTCAAGAATTAAAGAAGTTCATAGGTCCCTCTACGAAATTAAAGAAAAAGCTTATCTTATCCAAAGCCTTCCAGACTCTTCTATAAAAGAAATGAGTCTGAAATACTTTGGAGGGAGTATCTGTATGCGTCTAAAAATATCTATAGGTGTCCGTACATAGCTCGAGACGGAGAGAAGACAACGAACATTGTTATCCAAGTCTAAGAAGATTATCTGTCATCGACAAACGCATAAAGCGAAACGACGAACCAAGTGGCCCACGCGTGTTAATCAGCTCGCGCGTGTCGATCAATACATGCGTATCAATCAGTTCATGCGCATCGGTCAGCGCGCGCTCGTCAATCAGCTCGCGCGCATCGGTCAACACACGCGTGTCAATCAGTTCGTGCGTATCGATCAACACATGCACATCAATCAGTTCGTGCGTGTCGGTCAACACGCGCACGTCAACCAACGTGCACATGTCAACCAATACGCGTTCGACAGTCAGTCCCGCAACGAAGCGTGCAAGTCAGCCAAATAAGCGAAACGGGAGAAACTACAAGTCCCAGAAAGTCGAAAAGTCGGAAAGTCAGAAGAACACACAAAAAACTGGATTCCCCGTGCTCACGCGGGTCGGACGAATCCGACCCGCGCAGGCGTGGGTCGG